TCCTCCGAGAGAAAACATCAGGGAGGTGATGATGGCTCAGTGACCCCACCATGGTGTTTTTAGCACTGTCCCAAGTCCTGTGTTTTGACATATCCCTTCAGCCCCTCGTGGCAAGCAACACTTCCATTCCTCTGCTCTCCGGGCCTCATAAGCCTCCTTCTTGTTATCCCAGACCACCACCTAGTGGGTGCCTGAGATGCCACCACAGCCCAGGGAGAGGGCTACACCATGGCCCAGGGAGACCAGGCTGCTCTTGAGTGACCCTTAAGTGATGCCTGGATGAACAGAGCTGTGTGCCAGCAGGACACCATCGGAATTTCAGAGTTTCACTCGGCTGGGCTGTTTGTTACATGCAAAGCAATTAGCAGAAAAACCTTCCCCTTCACGTCAGTGGTGCCTTTCCTCATGCTTTTATAGGGTCTGCAGTTGAAACTGCATACAGCTCCTGGAAATGCTGAGTAAACCCCCAAATATTCCCTTTTTTTTATAAGCCAGATTCAGTTCTGCAATGTGTTGAGCATGTGAGTAGCTTCACTCGTGAATCAATCCACTGATAGGATGTATTGATCATTCCACCTTAGCAAGTATTTTACCCTGTAGGTTTTCCCACTGAAATCATTGTAAATCCTTGCAGATGAGTCTACTAGAAACCACTGAATTTAATAACAGCCTGAAAAACTTCTGAAACTACACCAGATGCCAGTGAAAAGACAAGGCGTAGGCTGTGTGGTTGGTTGGTTCCTCAAAACTGTCAGGAGATGACTTCTTTCCTTACAGCTGGAGAAAGATTGATGGCTTTCCTTCCTCAGGGTAAAATCTATAATTCAGTCCTCCCAAAGGGGGAAACAAATGTTTCATGAGAAATCCCTCGCTGAGTTAGAACCTCTGAAAACATTAATGGTGGTAACCAGCATCACTGTCATGTTGAAGACCCTCACAACACCCTACGTGCAGCCATTAGTTTCCAGTGATGAACCTCTGCCTTCACATTGCTGGTTGGCTGAAATCAGGTCAACAGATGTATTTTCTTTATTGTTGCAATTTCCAGCAAGTGTTTGAAGATACATGGCTTGGCCACTGCTCAGTAACCCAGTGTCATTAATACTGCAGTTTCTGACTGAGGGCCAGGATGTCACAGGAGGTGTCATCTGCTGCAAGAGGGATCAGGACTTTTTAACAAAACATTCTGAAGAGGACCTACAGAAGACCCCAGAAATGGTCTGGCAGCTGGAAGAGCCTGTGACATTGGTCAGCTGAGTCTGCCATATGTCCTTGCTGCTGTTGAAGAAAGGAAGCCCCGTCCCTTCTAAACTTGCTGGTCCTTGCCAGCTCTCTCGTGCCATAAGGAATGAGTTCTCTGAGAGATGACCCCATCAGTGCAGGGACAAGTTAAAAATTCAGTTTCAGCTGGATCAGTTCCAGCAGAACCTGACTTACACAGTCCCAATTAATAATGGTTACTGTACCACTGAAAATCATAGAGGTGTGGCCAGAAGGGACCTCTGGAGGCCTCTGGTACAACTTTCTGCTTGATCCAGGTCTGCCACCAGAAGCAGACAAGATGTTATATCGACTGACCTACACGGTGTGAGGAGGTCCAGGTCACTGGTAGAGTGAGAGAGCTGGAAATGAGTTAGTGATTGCCTTCACTCTGCAGTGTCTTCACTCTAGAGTCCCTCTTTCTTTCCTTGCTGATGAATGCTATAGATCTAAATGCCACCATCATGCTTTGAAACAACACTCTGTGAATCCTTCAGGGTCTGAGCTCATCTAAAAGTCTCAGAAAGCTTGTAACAGGGTGGGTTGGGTTTGGTTGTGAGGTTTTTTTGGGTTTTTTGGTTTTGCTGGGTTGGTGTTTTGTTGGTGGCGGTTTTTTTTTTTTTTTTTTTTTTTGAGAGCTCAGCCATGGAAAAATATTTAATTTGTCAAAGTCATAGTGACTTTTAGGCCATGTCCCTTTAGAAATGCTGACCTAACAATAGTACTAATCAGAAAGTATGGCATTTATAGTATCTTAATGGCATGCACCCAAAATAGATTCTAGTTATATCAGCAAGTTGACAAGCTCACAGGGTACAGATAACTCTTGTAATTAATTTCTAAAAGTCACAGGAACTGTAAAGTTGGTGTGGGTGGAGTTTACTTTTTTATTGAAATAATAAAGTGCTAGAATCCCATTTATCCTGGTGTTATTATAGACTTACTTGAAGGTAAATTAAATCAGAATTTGGCTTCCCAACACTGTTAGGATAAAACTGTTAATTTTCCTCTCTTATGCTAATGATTCTGAGGAGTATGGGCTCTAATTAGAACATGAATAGAGAGCACACTGTGACCTGCTGGTTCTTAAGGTCTAATGAGTGTAACTTTCTGAGGTACATTCTTTTTAAATCACTTCCCTCAAATAGGTCACATCACTCACTATGCTGGTATCACACATTCATTAGAGAAGCTCAGGACAGTAATTCCTATAATTAAAGTTGCCCAACATTTTCATGATAAAAACATGTTCTTAATTTCTTATAGGTTTAACGGGCATTAATACTGGGAAGTGAAATTTTCTGTAATGGATATCTGTATCAGGATAAGGACCTAAATTAAAAATGTAATTATTGTTTTTTAGATACTCACACAGTGGGTAATTACTCTCACACCTTTTCAATATTAGTGTTTGGCTCAGTTTGTAGGACATGTCTGCTTTGGGACAGGAACTTAATTCCATAAAGACTGGAGCTAAATCAGCCATATAAATCATCCCTGAAAATTACAGTTCTTGTGTGAATAGAGACATGCCAATGCTTTTGGCTAAATTCTCTGCACCAAATGTTCTCCAGGGAAGAGGCACAGACAAGGTCTGGACCCAGGCACAAACTCAGGCTGCCACGTGGACATCAGGCAGCTGCCAGCACTAGTGCTCACCCCTGTCAGTTGGCAGTGGGCATGCACTGAAAAAAATCTTATGAAGCTGTTCAAACTTTCAGGTCATGATCAGAGGATATGCTAAAATCAGCTTTAAGTCAGCTGGGCTCAAATAAAAAGGGTTGCAGCCTGATGCCCAGAGTTTGAGTGGCACTGACTCTGATTTAGCAGCGTTGGTGCTCTCTGTTGCGTGCTGGGACATCAGGTGTTCCAAGCCCTGGACCAAAGGCCTGCCTGCCACCTACTTTCTCCTTACTTTCTGTCCTGCCCACTCAGATTCCAGGCTCTGCACTGCTGGGTTGGTGATCTGTGCTGTCAGACCCCATCAGGTGCTTCCTGGATATTTTCTTGGCTGTTGTTAGTGGTCAAAACTTGCATTCAGCCTCTCAAAAGTTGTATTTAGTCCCAGCTGCTGCTGTGGCTTTATCCACCATGATGAAAATCCTGTTCCTGCATATAAGACTACTGCCCAAAATTTTACACAAAGGGCATTGAGGTTGTTGTCCTTCTCACAGCTGCCTTGTGGACAGGATGTTCAATAGACAGTAATATGGCCCAGTCCTCTCAAAGTTTTTCCTCTTCAGGGAGCAAATGTGATGGTGCTCACTGAAGAGTTGACAGTTCAACCTCCCTTTTTAGCCTCCTTGCAGAGACTTTGTATCTGGCTTTGCATTCAAATACTTTGTATTCAGACTCTGCACCAAACACAGAATAATTAATATTAATTATTAATTTCCTCGAATAATTTTCTCTGCTGTGTCCCCTTTATTTTAAATCTTGGATCCTCTCCAGAATTCAGATGATCTGACTACTAGATTTTTTTTTTTTCTAGACAAACAATAATTTTCCAAATCTCTTCCCCACACTCAGTTCCAGAAAGGAGAATTTTCTGCTGAGATGTAACCCCAATATTTCTGAAGCCCTGCTATGTGTCCCCCAGGTATCTGTGGATACCATGGCCAGAGCTTTACCCTCAGGGAAAACAGGAATGACTTGCTCAGGACCATGTAGCTTATTGACTAGTAGCAAGTTTATTTAAACCAGGAAGGATGACAGGACCCATCTTGGGTGAAAAGCAACACTCAATGGTATTTTTCTTCTGCCTTGATAGCCAAAGAGTAAGAGGTTAGAGAGAGTCTTTTGCTGCTTAAAGTGCCCCCTCGAATGCAGATGTGGCCTTCACTGATCTCCATTTAAAGATGATGGAATGTGTTTGTTCAGTAACATCAGCCAGACTCTCTCTACTGTCACTCTGGGCAATATAAAGCCCTGGTGCACCCACATTTTGAGCAGTGTGCACCGTTCTGTAGAGCTGGAAGTCACAGAGAACGGCAAATACTGATGTGTGGGATGGAGCAGCAGCCTCCCACAACTGAGGGTTTGAGTCTTTAGTCTGGAGAAAAGGCTCAGAAGGGTACGGTCCAGGATCTGAGGGAATGGCATGAAGCTGTGTCAGGGCAGGTTTAGGCTGGATCTCAAGGAAAGGTTCTTCCCCCAGGGGATGGTCAGACACTGACCAGGCTCCCCAGGGCAGTGGTCACGGCCCCAAGGCTACCAGAGCTCCAGGAGCATTTGGACAACGCTCTGAGGGACAGGGTGGGATTGTTGGGGTGTCTGTGCAGGGCCAGGAGTTGGACTGGATGATCCTTGTGGGTCCCTTCCAGCTCAGGATAATCCATGAGTCAATGTTCAGGCCGGCAGCGTCCCCGAGCAGCCGTTGCACGGGGATGGCTGCCCCGTGAGCCCGGCCGGGCTGCGGCACCGGGAACCGTTCACGTTCAGCTCACGGCCCGCTCGCCTGGGCCCTGCGGCCACGGAGGGGGGGAGAAGAGGCACGGAGACCCGAGGGAAGCGATCGGGCCCACGGGGGCCCCGTAACGGCCCGACACACGGGGACGGCGACTGGACTGCCCGAGAGAGGCCGCGGGGACCGAGACCGACCGTGAGGGGACCGAGACCGACCGTGAGGGGACCGGATGCGGCCGGGCCAGACCCGCCGCCCGCCCCCCGCGCACGCGCGGTGCCGCCCCGGAGCCGCCGTCCATCGGCGCGTGCGCGGCGCGCGGGGCCCGCGGTGCGCGGCGCCGTCCGGCCGCGCGGTGCATTGTGGGCGCGGCCGAGGCAGTAAAATGGCGGACCTGGCGAACGAAGGTAGGCGGGAGCTGCGGCCGCCGCTCCCCGGTCCGCGCCGGCCTCTCCGGCCCCGCGCTCAGCCCTGGCACCCCCGGCCCTGCGGTCCGCGCTTAGCGGCGCGCCCGGGCACGGGCCCGCCCTCGGGAGGGCCCTCTCCCCGCGGCCGCCTCGACCCCCGCGGGACGAGCGGCCGGACAAAGGGAGCGCCCGGCTGGGCCGCCGCGCTGTCCGCGGGGCGGGGGCCGGGCCGGGGCTGCGCCCGCAGGTGCCTCCCGCTGGGCGGTGGCCCCCGCGGGGGGGCGGGACGGTGCTCCCTGGGCGCGGACGGCGGGCCCGGTGCCGGGCACGGGCCCCGGGGGGGGCTCGGAGCCGCTTTGGGCCCCGCCTTGTCCAGGTGCTTTTAGACTCATTGTCCACAACTTTCGCACCGCTGTAAATCTCTCCTTCGCTTACACCCGTGTTAGTCTTTTCTCTAGCTGAGAGAATAATAGAACCGGTTATATAAAACGAGGTGAGGTATGATAATAGATGTGTTATTTTTTTGAGCTGAAAACCTCAAAAATCTGTTAGTAAAGTGGTTTGACTTTTTTTCTGAAGAGGATTAGGAGAACCTGGGCTGCACCACTGCAGGATTTGGGTATTCTGCCCCAAGGTGTGTACAGGGATGTTTTAAGTGTCAGTGGGCATCTGTAGTTTGCCTTTGGGAATGACAAATGTCCCTCAGTGTTTTTGCAAAAGCCAGTTTGCCCTGGCTGTCTCTGTTTCTCGTTCTTCTCAGGTAATGAAAGAGGGGAAGAGATGCTTCAAGGGAGGTGAATGAAGAGATGCAAGGCCCCTTTTTCAAGACTGTTTCTTACATTTGAACTGTGCATCAGTGGCAGTTATGGCTCTGATATTTATATTAAACAACAGGAAGGAAATATCTGTGGTAGGTGCAGCCCTTGAAGTTGAGGCCTACAAGCAGCTGACAATACGACTGCATTTAAGTTATTTGACAAATCCTGTGATGCAGCATGTGTTGGGCTGTTGGCTTCCAGACTCAGGATGAGCTGTCAGTGCCCAAGGAGGGATGATAAGTGGTCTCAAGAATGGTAGTAGTCAAGTATGTGATGACTATTTGTGAGAAACTTAATGACAGTATTTACACAGTGTCATTATAATGACCTTACAATAAATTTTGATGGGTTATTATGTTCTTTTAGAACTAGAAGCTTGGGAATAGTTATCTTATGTCATAGAAGCCCTTCACTTTGCCTCCCCATTCTACTGGGGAACATTAGGTTCACCAGTGAATTCCAAGTTACCAGTACTTATTGCATCTTTTGATGCCAACTTACCTCTATTTCTGCAGGGTCTTGTCTGGGATGGAGGGGGGAAGTGTGATCCCATCCTTACTTTTTCATCTGATCTTTTTCTCTTCAGACCCTTTTCTGCCTCCAGTGACTTCCCTCACCTTCTAATCCTTTCAGTTTATATTTGCATCTCCTTCCCGAGTTGTCACCTTCATCCCTTTTGTTCTGTTTCTTCTTGCAATAAGAATGTGATACAATCTTTTGTAACATTTAAGCGAGATGAGCTGGCTTTGGACCTGTTGTCTCCTGCTCTTCTGGTATCATTGGCTGTTGTTAGTTTTCTTTCCTCCAGTTCCATTTTTGAGGCATATGTTCTTCGTGTAACAGTGGAAATACATGCATTTTCTGGAATTGGCATCTTTCTGCTGAAACTTGGTGAATTCTGTTGTCTTTCTCCTCGCCTTGTTTGCAGTCTGTCATGGTAAGGGTCTTCTCAGGTGGCTGTTTTCTCATCATTCTTAAACACTTCCATTTGTTTTATTTTTCCATTGTTGTAGGTGAATGTAGGTATTTTCATTTGAATATATGAAGTAAATATTTTGCTGCTGATAGCAAAATATTTTGCTAAAATATTCTTTGACTTTCTGCTTCGTACTGGTCTTCTCACGTCTGAAGTATTTGATAGCTAAATGTTCATGTTCACAAACCAAGTGTGGTTACAGCAAAGCTCTTAATGTTCCTTAATCTTGATTGATCTGTACAACAGAGCTGTCTCAATCATACTTCACTGTGAGGTGTGAAGCTAATTATCCTTTGACACACAGTAGACAGGAGTACCTAGAATGAGGTTTCAGCCATTCTTTCAGACTGTGTAGTGTGTTTGAACAATGGCTTTTCTTGTCTGTTCTCTTGTCTTACCCATTTGATTACTGCAGCAAACCTTCTCCTGCCCTTGAAAAGTTCTGGGTTTTGTGCTGTCTGCCTCCTCTCATTTTACTAATGCAGAGCTTTTTTAACCTGTTTCTTTTACCATGACACCCCTTTGTTTCAATTCACTAATTGGATTTTCTGTTTTCAACGGTATATTAGTTATCTTTACCTTCTAAGTTGATACCTCTCTTAGACTGCTGAATGTCTTAAATCACTGCTGAGCTGTCAGTACTGCCTCCCAGTAATCATTCTGCTAATGTCCTTTAAGACTTCAAACTGTTTTAATGGATGGTCTTTCTGTGATAACTTTCTTCAAAGCTACAAGCAGTTCCTCTAATATGCTCATAACTACTTTATTTTTTTTCATTCTAATTGTTCCTTGAATTTTTTCCATTCACTTGTCTTTCCTTTTTCTCTAGTGAGTTGGTGAAACTGTTCCCCTACCTCTCTGTAGTGGAGTGATGGCCAGCTGTATCTTGACAGAAGAAGGTTGTTGGATTAAGGGGGTCCTCTACTGCAGAGAAGGGGGGTGAAGGATCCTAGTGCCACTTTCCAAAGAAGTTTGTACTGTGAAGTTTCATAGGAACAGATCCTGGTCTTGGTATTGCCCCTCATGATGAGAGGAGATCAGCTGCTAAGTGTGGAGCTGATGAAGAGGAGGAGAGAGTAACTTCTCCCCAGCTGTGTGAAGTTTGATCGACTTCGTTGCAAAGATTTAGTGACGTTGTGATAAAGGTTTTGGGGACTGTCATTGTGAGGTTAATTATTGAAAACCAGGATTTTGGAATGGTAGGCACAATTATTACTTTTACTGCTGTATAAAGTGGTTACTGAATGCTCTTAGAAACTTTCTCTGAAGTCTTTGTTCTTTGGTGTTCTAGCTGGATCACGTCTTAAAACTGACACTTCACACAGGTGGCAGTGGAGTATCAAAGAGAACCAGCAGCTTCATGTCAGCCCTATAAATTTATGTGAACCCAAATGCTTTTCTCATTAACTTGCCACTAATACACAAGTAGTAATTTGCTTGTCTATAATTTGCTGGTGAAGCTGCACTCTAGCCAACAGGATCTCCTTGTATGGAGAACAAATTGCTTTATCTTTTCAGTAGCTGAACGGTGATACATCTTTTTCTCAGGGCTAAAATTTGATGGATGTTTTCACATTTCCCTTTCAGGAGGTGCCTGCAACTTTGCTTCACTTTATGAGGTCATTAAACTTACAGTTTATGATCATAACAGGTTTACTGTATGTAACTGCCTTAAATCAAATTAGAGGCTGGAGACCAGTGCTGTGGAAAGGGGCCTGGGGGTCCTGGTTGATGGCCAGTTGGCCATGAGTCAGCAGTGCCCTGGTAGCCAGGAGGGCCAACCATGTCCTGGGGGGCATCAGGCCCAGCATTGCTGGCTGGGCCAGGGAGGGGATTGTCCCACCCTGCTCTGCACTGGTGTGGCAGAGTACATTTGGAGTCCTGGGGTCAGTTTTGGGTATCACAATATAAAAAAGATATTAAATTATTAGAGAGTATCCAAAGGAGAGCTACAAGGGTGAAGGGTCTGGAGGGGAAGCTCTGTCAGGAGTTGCTGAGGTCACTTGGTTTGTTCAGCCTGGAGAAGAGGAGATTGAGGGGAGATCTCATTGTGTCCTTCAACATCTGACCCCCCGAGGGGCAGCAGAGAGCCAAGTAGGAATCTCTTCATTCTCATGACCAGTGACAGGACTTGAGGAAGTGGCTGGAGCTGAGTTGGAGGAGGTTTAGGTTGGATATCAGGAGAAGGTTTTCCCCCAGAGGGTGGTTGGGCACTGAACAGGCTCCCCAGAACAGTGGTCACAGCACCAAGGCTGTCAGAGTTCAAGAAGTGCTTGGACAGTTCTCTCAGTCCCATGGTGGGGTTGTTGGGGTGTCCTGCACAGCACCAGGAGTTGGACTGGATGATCCTGATGGGTTCTGTGACTGTGTGAAGTGCACAGAAGGTGTGTGAACTGAAGCAGTTCCTTGCAGAGGAATCAGTGTCACTCCTGTGCCACACTTGTGTGATGCTTTTGGAGAAAGCATCAAAGAATTTGTGTTGTTACTTTGAGGGAAAAGGCAGCACTCACTACTCTCTCTAGAAACAAGACCCTTTTTTTTCCCCATGGTGACTTCAGATAAATTAGTGGGTGGAAAGTTAGGCTGACAAACATGTCTTAATAATTCACACCCAAACACCATAAAGAACTATTTCATTTACAAGATAGAGCTATCTAAATGCTTTAATAACTTTTGTTAATGCTTTTTGGGAGTTCTTTATAAATATTTTACCTACATTGCAAAGTGTTTGGGCTCCCTCGGGGTTTTCTTCTTTCTGTCATGTGAAAATAAGCTACTTTTTTCCATTTTGGACTTGTGACATTTGCTTTATGTGAAGTTCCTGATCTAAAATTGTAAAATTACCTAATTTTGCAGAGGGTAACTTATTTCTATTAATGCCACAGGGGCTTGGAAAATGAAATAACACATGCTCTGCAAACACTTAAGACTTATGCTTTAAATGTGATGTAGGAAAATTTTATTTAATCTTAACTATTCAAGGGATTCTACCTTCCCAGCCAGCTGTGGAAATAACCTGCTAACTCATGCCATGGGAGACAAAAAAAAAAAGAGTTTGAACATGAACGAGAACATCTGATGTTTTACTTCATAAACAGCAACTTACCAAAGTTTTAAAAAGGAGGCAGAAGTTTCTCTTTTCCCGGTGTCATTTATATTCACCATGACATCACTTGTGTGGTGTGGCCAGAAATGATCCAGTCACG